AACTGTAGAGTCTCCGGATAAGGTGAGTGGCTGTGAAATTTTACATTAAACAATCCAGCACAACCCGGAGTCTCCCTTTATTTACGTGGACATTTATGGTTTCTTCGATCGTGCGACCGCTCGGCCGGCCGGGTTTAGGTCAGATCAGCTGCGGATCGATAGGAAGCTGCTGACGAGACGGCCTCGACCCCGACCTGCCCCAACCCCTAAACCACCAACGACCCACCCACTAACCCCCTCGCAATACTACTTTTTCTCTTCCTTCTTACTTGCTAATTTTTTTTATTGATTTTTTGGTTCATATCTGTGTTCGCTCTTACCGACTGCACCTAGGAGCCACATGAAAAACCTTGGTTTGACGCACCCTTAGGGCGTCCTTCAAATTGCGACGGAACGACGCCGTCGGCAATGACTTGTGGGCTGGAACGTGTCGGGGATACGTCACATGTGGATATGACGGTGTTACACTGTCAGTCTGTTAATTGTATTATATAATGGGGTACCTCAAGTTATAATGGTCATCGCGACTGGCAAAGCCTCTTTCAACCATTTAAATGTAGAGCGTCTCGCAAATTTGTTCAGCGATAGACACGTGGACTCTGTTAAGAAAATTTTCGTATGTTAATAATACTTTTCTTAATCGCTACCGGGTAGATATTCGACCGGAGGAAGCGAAACGATTATTAATTATGCCTCAGAATTCCGTCCAACGGCTGCTGCACTAATTAACGTTCGACGTCCTCAGACGCGAATGAACGGCAACGCTCGTTCTCGATTGCGCAACGTTTAATTGCCTTACTGCAGCGGGGAGGAACTTGACTGCACCGTGAGAGCGAGTTAGAGCTTTCAGGAGTGAACGGTGCGAAAGAGAGACGCAGTGAAAGCGGCTCGGAAGGGAACGGAAGGATGAAGAGAGCGCAGAGTCTGCCTGTTACGTCACACGCGTGCAACTCGTGTGACACATTGCACTGCTCCGATTTCAGGCCCCTCTCCCTTTGAATCCCTGCGCTGCGATAGTCTTATGTCCTCGTTCCACGTGAGCTTGACACGTCGTGTACAGCAGTGGCTATAGCTCCTTCTTCGTTCTCTCTTTTTCCCGCTTGGGCCGCTACTCGCTGTAAGGTCTGGCGCTCTTAGCTGCTACTTTCAGTGGTCTCGGCTAGATGGCAGCAGCTACCTCGGATGCTCTCTCGGTACGGTTACCTACCGAGCTTTCGTATCGGATATGCCATGTGGGTTATGCTGTCTGTTTCGTGTGCTGTATTTTTTCGGATATTTTTCTCTGGTTCTGTAAAAGCGTAACGGTTATAATTTTCTTCGCGAGTCAAACGCGTTCCGCAGACACTTGTTTGGATGTTTGGCAGAAACTTGGACTCGTTCAGGAACGTAATAAGGAGCCATTGACAGTTGCCAAAAATGATAGACAAAGGAATGTATTCATCGATAAAAGTTGACGCGATAGCTCCGAGGTGAAATCGCGTGTGTATCAGTGTGCTATTCCGAGAAGAATTAACATCCTCAACCAGAAAGCCGTAAGATGATCCAAACGCGTGGGATTTTAATTTTGATACCGAAGGCGGAATTGCGGTCGCCAGGTGTCCATTCGCTCGCTCGCTTGGCGACTGTCGCGCTGTAGAAAATTAAGGTTTGTGAATTAAGTTTGTATTCTTCACGCGCATTCTTAGAATCGAACCAAACGGACGTCTCGTCCGGTCCAGCGATTCTGGGCGCAAAATATATACCGAGTTCTCGTGAAGACTTACCAGAACCAATGATGTTGATCTGATCAACTACTCTGGACCGTTACTTTTCTTCTATTGCATTATTTTCTACCAACTTTTTTTTTATTCCTTTATCATTGAAATTTCTTGGATCATTTCTTCCTCACTGCTTACCAAAATTCTCGCATTGGATGCGTCTACGGTTGGGAATCACTGCATTGTAAAATAAACCAAAAAACTTTATGCGGTGAAGGTGATAGCTCTTTCTAAAAGATTACCACGTAGTCCTAACCAGTTCTAAGCCAAGCGCGAGCAAGTAAGTACTTTCCATTTAGGTATTAGTCAAAGTACTCTTTAGCATCAAAGTACTCGTCCGCGATGGTACCCACTGGCATGAAATAAAAAAAATTCATTCATATAAATAAATCTACAAAGATATTATTAGAAAGGAGAAATCGTTAGTGAAGTAATAATTTCTGTGAAAAATGTCTCTTTGCAGAAACTCCCTGAATTGCCTGTAAACTTTTGGTTCATCTGTTTTAGGGTGTCCTTCGGGTCGAGCAAGGGCTCGATGGTAGAGACACTGGTCTATGAGACTCCAGTTCAAGAGGAACCGGAAATGAACCATTTTTTGGAACACAATGGCCGTCTACCCGCTCCCATGATTCCGGTTCCGGATACCGAGTAAGTACACGCACACCAATTTTATATCATCTGATGACGATCGATCGTGTGAATTTCTCAAATAATCGGCATTTACTTTTCTACAAAACCACGTATGGCTCTTTATTAATAGAAAAGATATTTAGCATCTCCACGTACGCACCCGCGAGTCGCACGTGTGAATACCGGGTGAACGTGGTGGTTCAGTTACACGTCATATGCCACACCTAGGACCAGAACAATTTCTCGGTCATATATCTTTCTCTCTCTCTGCATGGTTTCCGTCAGTAGAATCTTTCTTTCTTTTCAAATCTATATCGCGCATATTTATATAATACATATACACACAGCTATCTATAACTATGCGTATAACTGCTAACTTTGGAAATTTCGAGTACGCGGTCGAAGACGACACAGTCCGCGCTACTGCGCAACCGTCTTCGCGCAGCGTCTCTCGATTACTTGTAACCTTTTCGATAATTAGAATGACCCCGAGTAAATATCCTTCGTCATTCACGAGGGACAAGTACGTAAATCCCCTTGTGCGTCCTCTCGCCTGAGAGAGAAACGAGCTCGAGAAAAGTATATTATGGCGTCTGTTGGTCGTGTCTCTTCGTACGTGTGATATGTGACAATAAGTAAGCACGAAATAGGGGTCGGAGTAGTTGAATCAGCGATTACATAGTCGAAGCACGATTGTACTCATTAAATTAATCAAACGCGATAACATATTCAAAAGGCCAAATCATGTCCGCCATTATTAACTGAACGTGGGCTGTCACGCTGTCCGAAGAAATTATGATTTGATAAACCAGCGCCGAAAAAGGTTGCTGAGAATTTCGAAAAGAGTCGCTATCGCGACACCCCTCGATTCTCTTGCTCTATTTTCACCGCAAATATTTCAAGCAGCGTATCATTCAACGTAAAAATCGATCAAGCAGCATTTTCATACGGCGTCTATCGGAATTTTCATATCTTCTCGAGTAACGTTTCCGTCTGTTTTTCACTATCTACTTATCAGGTACCGCAATAAATAGATAACAGTACATTAGACGGTGCCGGGCGTCGCGACCGTCGTTTCTAATCCAGCAACCCTATACGCGGTAATCGATATCCTGATAAGGAGATAAGATTGGCTCTTACCAGAAGAGGCAATCGGTACGGCAGAGCCTGGCATTCCGCTGTCTGGCCAATCAGGTCACACTTCATTTGCTTGGCATTTGTCACCACAGTATTCGCTGTGTCGCGCAGACGAAGAAACAGTCAAATAAAAACGGTCGTCGTATCTAACGATTTTCTAGTGCCTCTCCGAGATCAGCGTACAGACAACAGATTTGCTATTTAAGATCGAGCACTGATCGTTGAAATCTCACCAATGACAACCAGGCACCCAAGGAAACTCGGGAAAAAGATACCACCTTCGGGACAATCCATAGAAATTTTCGTGGCTACGCTATTGTTCACGTCTCCATGGGGCAGCCTTTCGACTACCTGGTCAGGGTCGAAAGGCGCTTTCTGCGCATCTGTGCACAGAAGCATCGTGCATGTTCAAGATTCGCATATTGAAATCGGTGTGTGACTGTCACTTATTCAAGCACGGCAAAGGGAGAGTCCCATGTATACACAAGTATCGAAGAGAAAGGGAAAAAGGGAAGGCACGCACGCGCCCTCACGTATTTGAACGCATCCAGACGATCTAGACGCACACAGCCGACGCTGCGCGGCAGTAGCGTCGAACGCCCGGGCACCTCGACTAGCACGCCACCATCACCAACGATGCTACTACCACGCTACTGCCAGTACTAGTAGTACCACCACCATGAACGCTGCTGCCGCCAACAGAACGAAACAAACGAACGCAGGCGTGGTACGAGGCCCCACGCCATCCACAAACCTGTAACGCAAAGGAGTTTTAGTATGAGTCGAGCCCGGTCTGGCTTGACGTTGCCTTGGCATTCACTGGAGATTCCTTCGTTCTTCTTCTGCCAACCACGTATACGGAGCAGATTCTTTTTCACCGAACCCTCCTTCGTGCTGCACTTTTACACTTTCCCTTCACGCGTCTAGTCACCCTTTGTCTCTTTTCGTTTATCTCAAGTTCTTTCACTTATTTTCGGCTGGTCGCTCGTCGCGTGTGTTGCTGGTGAATCGGATTCTTTATAATCAGTGCAAACTATTGGTGGATATTATATATAGGTACTGTGATAATCGTGTACACTCTGGATATACAAAACTACGGATTTACACGAGGGACTCTACTGACTCTTGCAGGTAATGTTCTGTCATGTCTAAAAGCAATTGATTTACGTCGATTGATAATTTTTAGTTCAGATTATATGCGAACTGTTTGTTGCTGATCGAGGTTACCTTATCGGTGAATTTCTAAGGCGAGCACTCGATCGAGAACGCCGTGACACTAATCACTCGCCCGGTCTTTTCGATTGTAGCCATTTACTGTTGCGTGCACGGTAGATGTGATATTTGCTTCTTTCCGCTGACGCGTAACGCATGCCCCCGCATTGATTGCGCACGTCACGTCATATTCGTTCGATATTCGGACTTTTTGTTTCGTGGTATTTTTTTTCTAAATTACGTACGAATCCATTCGCGTGACGTGGAACGTAGGAAAATTGAAAAGAAATCGGCTGTAGGAAAAGAAACACCTTAACTGTCCCTGGAAGAGTAAACGCGTATCTATAGCCTAGAGGTGCGTAGAAGAGTCCTCGAGTCTTGTGGGTAGGCCCATCGATTAGGGGGTGGTTGCGTAGAGTTGATACCTTGGGTTCACTTCAACGGAGCCTTGTCGAGAAGGGGTGAATCAGAAATGTGCCTCGTCCGATAAGAAAATATGAATGAAAATCCAAAGTCGTCTTCCTCTTGTTGCCATGACTACGCGCCATCTTGACACACAATTCCCAGTCGCGGTTCTTCGCGAAGCTCGTGCTTCGTTCTCTACTCTGTCGGAAAAAAATTGTACTTGCGCCGTCGGACAACCGTAGCCATTGCTCGGAATTATTTTTCCTCATTACCGCACGCTCTCTCGGATATGTACTTTCCTTTTGGATCGGTTTCAGCGACGCACTGGCAATGTCCAATGGCGTCTGTTGTGAGTTTGCCGAGCATCGAAGCGTGTCACGATAAAATATTTGTTCAATTCGCAATATCGAGTTACCGTGTACACCAGGCGGATAATAACGAAGCACAAAGCTAATAGATTAAACTGCGTGGAAGATTTTACCTAATGAACCAATGGCCACGGGGGACAGGGACGGGGAGCGGGAAGAAGGGTTAAAGGCAAGAAAGATATAAAATAAAAGTATCATGGAATATCGCTCGACAGAGCTGAAAGCTATTTAGTTGATGAACGTTCGGAAAAGTAGAAGTGGGGTAGTAGGGTGGCCATCGCGGGTTTATGGGGCAGACGCATCGGCGTCGCGACGCCCTTATCCTTCTCCTCGACTATGATCGATGCCATTGTTTGCAAATGCCACCCTTACTTTCCCCGTTGGCTCCTCTCATCTGCCACTTTCACCCCCCTCGCTCGGCTTTCTTTTTCGAGTAGTCTGATGTCACTCTTGGAGAAGGAGGGAACGTTCAGAAAGTAGGTTAACGTGCCACGTATAAAAACATAATTTCCCTGACCCCCCGTCAAAAAAGACATATTTCCGGAATACACGTTCAGACTCCAATCTGTTTCCGGTTTATTTTCCTGGAGAATAATTGATGGTCGTAGAAAGATTTTTCTTGAATAAAAATACCTTATCTTTATTTTCGAAGGAAATCACCAGACTGATGGTACAAGAGTCCGTGTGATTCCAAGAGTATTTACAGAAATCATGAAAAAACATTGATTTCTCACTGAATCATCGACAACGATGATGTCACCGGCTCAAGGTCTGAATGCTGTAGGTAATAGAACAGGCATGTGACGTCATTGATAAAGCAACGCCAACGCGACTGTAACGTTCACATAATTCGAGTCCAGCTCATTCCAAAGCATATTAACGAATTACGAGGAGGCAGCCATCCGTCTCTCGGGTTTCCTTCTGGGAATTATCACGATGATGAGAACGATGATAATGATGAGTTTTGTGGATGAATTCACCGGCAATTAAAGCCATTCGTGGTTCTCGATAAAACGGCCAGAGTCTCGTTTGCCTTTACGACCCAGCTATTGCGCAAGAGACTTTCAATGGCAAAACGGACGCTGAGAGAAACTACAATTCCTTAAAGGGACTCGACCTCATGCAGAATAGGTCCAGACTCGCCGAGGGGCCTTTCTGATTGATCTCTTCTTTCGATCCACCTATCCGACTCTAGCTCTCTTCTAGGTTATGGCCATTGTCGCGTTATGTTTCCTCCGGGATGGCCGATCAGCCAGGGCTGGCAGGCATCGACGTGTTCTGACTGACGGTTAGTTTGGAGTCGGGACCTTGAGATGGGTTTCGTTTGATGTGCGCTGAAGCGTAGCTGGCTGGGTCGGCTGGCTGGTCGACTGGCTAGCACGGTCTCCCTGCTTCCTTCTTCGTCCGGTCTTTTTTTAAACTTAACCTCCTTTTTGCCTGCTTTTTTCTCCCGTCTTGCTTCTAGCAGTCTGCAGGTATTTGGGACACTACCAAACTCGTTTCACCAACGGATTTAGTCAGTAAATCCTATGTCTCGTCCCTTCTCCCTCCCACTCGTCTCCGATGGTATTTTCTCTCTTCTCTCTACTCTCGGTCTATCATTCTTCCTCGTCTTCTCGCGTGTCTTATTTTTGCCGATCCTCTCGACGGTTCCCTATGGTCGCTCATGAATTTTCCTAGCGATACCTCTGGCCTGGATCGAAGGGGATGCCAGTAATACTTTGTTGGACGTTGTTTACAAATTTTTAAGAATAAACCAAGCTCGCTCGTGTGCCATTTTTTTCACACACGCCCTTCTCTCGATCCGTTCGCTCGGCCGTCATGCCAATCAAATGCAGATTAGCTTTATCCGTACAGTCTCTGTCACAAATAAGCTGCCATCCATTTGACACGAGTACGGGTTCTTCTCCCACAGGGGCGCAATATTGCGCATAATAATTCCAGGATCCCCTTCGACATTCTATCCTGTTCCGAATTATGAAATTTCACGTTAGGGCGCTCAATACGTTTCGCGCGTATCGCTGGTTTACACAGCGTCAACATTCGACGGACATTCACTCGCTACATTCAGCACGTAACCATCGTCCGCTGTTGCACTGGACAAAATTTCAGTATCCAATTTAAAATCCACCCTTACTGCCAATTTATTGCATAGCCCTGGAGACCCGTCTTTCCTACCAAATTGAAGAGGCAATTTCGGACGCTTCCGGAATTCTGAAGTTTCCAGTGGAAATGCCCTGTGTCACGTATACCTGCACGTTACCCACTTGGACGTGTGTACTTTCGTGACGTCACGTGGTGAGGAGGTATGAGAAGTAATGAAAACAATGAAGTGCCATCTCCTAGGGGAAACTTTTTTTTAGCCAAATTAAAGAACTTCCCAAAATTTAAAATCTACCGGGACTCTGCGCGTCAGATCGTTTTGCTGTTCTCAAATTTTCTAGGGAATTTATGGTTGATATTTCCCGAAGCGATGGAACCTTCGTTGCCGACGGTCCGTTGATTTTCTAGGGTTTTTAAAAAAAACCTGTCTAGTTACTTTTTGTTGAAATTTTTTCCATCTTTTCTCGTGCTTTTTTTTTCATCTCCCTAACGCATCCTGGTCTGATCGTCGTATCGCCACGTTATCACGGCGACGGTCGTCGCCGTGACGTGTACCGTTTTCATTAGAGCTATTGCGACCTTGTTGCGAATACTAATAATAGTAGGATGATCTCCAGCTCGTCGGAGTTACTCTTAGGAAAAACAACTCAGTCGATTATCCTTCCTTGAACGTGTAACATGCCGGCCGCTTAGCCTGTCGCGCCCCCGTCTAGCCGTTTCGTCAACCGCGACGAAAACACGTCTCGAGTCTTTAAAGCCGCTGGCTGCGAAACTTCTGAATCCCCGATTCATTCCAGCTGATCGCCCGGCGCTCCTGGCGAATTCATTTCACTTCTTAACTGACCATCAGGCACATTTTTTTATCTTTGAATTTATTTCCTGCTCGTTCGGTTAGTGTCGACTGATTATCGAAATACAGATCCCACGGATAGTCTTATAGAAATAATTCCAAGCGATCCCCCAGTGATATTGTACACTGTTGTCGGTAATTTGAAAAGTTTACATATCAAATTTCGGAAGACGAAATAATTTTGAAAAATTTTTATCCCACGCGTCAATCGCGTTACGGGTGTATCCGTTGGTAGAGTCAATCAGTATGGATCCCAGGTAAGAAACTTTACTGTTTACCACTAGGATTTTTTTTAAACAAAAAAAAAACAGACTCAAATGTAAAAACACGGGACGTCGGCGTTGCGTGAAAAGCCCAAGAAAACACAAGACAAATAATGAGAAAATACGCGGAGAACGTGATTCCAATTGGCAAGTTGCCATTCGCGCAACACGTGAGTCACAGATGTACATGCACATGTGTATATGCATGTAAGCTGTTGGCTGCGACGCAACCGGCGACCTGCAATTCGCGTTGTACAAATTGACCGCAAATAAGATTTTCTCTACTTTATTATTATCGGACATCTTTTCTTCTTTTCCATCTCTTGATCTTTCATCTTTTTCTTTACCTGTCTGCCTATTACAATTATTTTGCTATCGCCTAGTCGCAATTTTGATTGAAAATCGTAAAGAAAAAAAAATTAATTTTTTTAATACATATTTATGAACACTCCTCTGTACTCTTTATCATCGCTTGTATTTATTTTCAACGGAACGCTATCGTAACTGCGTTTTTATCGTTATGGAATTTCATATAATCAATAGAGAATTGTGAAGTCATTCCATATTATATACACCACGTGATTGAAGCGACCAGCGTCGCGACGCCGGTAATCGAGTCCAGGCACCTCTCGTGCCTACTACCAATGTTACGAAACGCAAATTTTAATATTATTAATGAATACCCACGGTATCGATTGTTCGCCCTATCGATACTTACGAAGTGGATTTTTTCCTTTGATTTTCCTTCTTTTTCAGCAGAACCTCTCGGTGTCGCGTTTTATCGAATTAATACGTTAAGACGGCTCGGACGAGACGCCGGTAATTCTCAAGGAGGAAAAACTCAATTCCCACGAATTGACTCAGGGTCTCTCAACTCGAAGTACTTTTCCGATATCTCGTAAAGTTGGCGCGCAAAGTCGTTAATCTGCGATTGAGCGTCACTGCAGTCCCACGCAAAATATTAAACTGGATGACTCGAGACGTCTTGAATGTTATTAAACTGAAATTGCTGCAATTTAGATTATATTCCTAGATTACACTAGGCGTTAACAGCCGGCGACCGCGGGGGTTCAAGAAACCGACGCGTTTTGGCGTCTTTTTTTTTCCGGCTTCTGCTGCTTCTTGCCAATTTTGTCTGGTTTCATTATTTTTTTTTTTTTTTTTT